CAGGAAGGGAAGAATAAAGGGGGGGAAATCGGAGGGGGAGACGAACCATGAGAGACGACGGACTCTGAGAAACAAACTGAGGGTTCCAGAGGGGAAGGGGGTGGGAGGATGGGTTAGCCTGGTGTTGGGTATTAAGGAGGGCACGTAGTGAATGGAGCACTGGGTGTTATACGCAAACAATGAATCATGGAACACTACATCAAAAACTAATGATGTAATGTGTGGTGATTAACATAACATAATAAAAAAAAAAAGACATCGGTGAACAAGATAGAAATGGTTCTGAGTCTCATGGACTTTACTGCCGAATGTGGGCTTTGGTGGGCAATGACAGCTAAGTGAAAAAACATCTGCTATAAATCAACAAAGTTATTTATTCAAATTGCCAACAGTAGGGTGGCACACCTCCAGTGATTTATTGTGCAGGAATCCCCCTTGCTGTGCATGTTCCTGCAAAGTCTCATTAAGACCTTTAAACTAAAAATATCTGATCCAGCTAAATTTTGGAAAAGGAAACTATTATTTGAGGAATTCATTTTCAGCAGCTGAGTGCCTCAGGAAGTTAGTAATGCCCTATGGAGCTTTATGCCTCTGGTCCTCTCATTTGAAACCAGCAGAGGTTGGAACAGTTCTTAGTTATTAACATCTAATGGCTGTTTTGTGACTTCTCAAGTGCTTTGGACTCCTCCTTCCAAGTCCCAGGGAATGGAAAGATACTTATTTGAATTTAATTAACTCAGAGGAGATTCAGCCTAAAGGATAGCGATTGAAAATACTGAGTACCAAATGTTCTTACATCTTCCCTAAAACCTTATGATAGATTTGTTGGACTCCTAATTGCCAGGAGTTTGTGGAATAGAAACCCCACCTAGAAGTAAAGCCCAGGGTAGGAAGTGACTGTCACCACTCCTCTCCCTTGGTGCCTACATTATGTTCTCACCTCCGGCTGCATGTGTCTTACTGCAGAACTCCCCTTGCAGAAAGTCTCCTTGTGGGCCAGGAAAAAGCTCTGCCAAACACAGATGAATGGCAACCAATGAGACTTCCGATCTTTGCTTTTGCTTTGGTACAAACTCTCAGTATATCTTTCTCTCCTAAATGTGTGTACGCAAATGTCACTCTGTTAACCTAAAAAAATACTTCCATTTTGGTAAGAGTCTTTGAAAACTTCCTTTCTGCCACCCAAATTCATATTTAGACTGCAGAGTTGCTATAAGTAGACACAATGTGATTTCAGAGATGCTGTGAAAACCCGTAAAAGTAATTCATTTCCATATTCATTCATTCATTCTCAAATATTCTCAAATATTTATTGCCGACATGCTGTGTATCAGATATTGGGTTAGGTATTGTAGACCTAACACAGAGCAAGAAAGATATAATTGCAGCTCTTAGGGGGTTTACAAACTCAGACATATATTTATTTACTCACCTATTTAAATAATATGTATCATGTGCTAGGTGTTGTTTAAGGGATCATGGAAAATTCCAAAATAAAGAAGAAAGTATTCTAAGGAAGAAGGGCAGGTTCCCTGGGCTAGGAGAATAGCAGTGGGATCAGAAAAAGGAGAGATGAGTCTTCAGAGATAGTTTGAAGGTAGAATCCACATTGGATGAATTCTGGGAAGCAGAGGAAGGGTAGGTGTTGATGTGGGGGAGGAACTGAAATTATTTCATGCTTTTTACCAAAGGTGTTTGGGAGGATTGCTGGTGCTGTTAAACCAAATTAGAAAAGGGAGGAGGAGAAGCAGGTGGAGGGCAAGTTTTGGGGGGAGAAAAGAGTAACAGTAGTGGGAGAATAAGGAAGACATTGAGCATGATTGAATTTGAGAGGATGCTCCCACTGTGTCCTTTTACACTCAACAAGAGACTATGAGCTACTCTCATCTCAAGAAAGAATTGTTTCACCAGATACACATGTTAGATACTATTTTTTTTATTATGTTATGTTAGCCACCATACAGTACATCATTAGTTTTTTTTTCTATTTGTTATTTTTTATTGTTATGTTAATCACCATACATTACATCATTAGTTTTTTAAAGATTTTATTTATTTATTCATGAGAGACAGAAAGAGAAAGAGAGAAGCAGAGGGAAAAGCAGGCTCCCAAGGAGCAGGGAGCCCGATGCAGGACTCAATCCCAGGACCCTGGGATCATGACCTAAGCCGAAGGCAGACGCTTAACCATCTGAGCCACCCAGGCGCCCACATCATTAGTTTTTGATGTAGTGTTCCATGATTCATTGTTTGTGTATAGCACCCAGTGCTCTATGCATTATGTGCCCTCCTTAATACCCATCACTGGGCTAACTCATCCCCCCACCCCCCTCCCCTCTAAAACCCTCAGTTTGTTTCTCGGAGTCCGTAGTCTCTCATGGTTCGTTTCCTCCTCCAATTCCCCCCACCCTTCATTTTTCCCTTCCTTCTTCTAATGTCCTCCATGCTATTCTTTATGTTCTACAAATTAGTGAAACCATATGATAATTGACTTTCTCTGCTTGATTTATTTCACTTACCATAATCTCCTCCAGTCCCATCCATGTTGATGAAAGAGTTGGGTATTCATCCTTTCTGATGGCTAATATTC